ATCTCCTAAGATGTTGGTCGAGTCATTCAAGCAACCGCTTGTGCTTACACCACCCGATGGCACCAACATAGATGCATATACTTCCGAGAGTACCTCCGATCACAGTCCAAAGGAATTTTGCTGGACCAGCTACCTCATCCTTGAACAGCTGTATCTTAATGTTCATACCGAATACTCCAGCAACCGCGATAAAGGCGTTTATCACCAGAGTAGCCGTTGTTAGCATCACACCCATTTGCAGAAGATGATTCTGTTTGTCATCCAGCATTATGTTGATGTAGTCCTCTGTGTCATCCACGTATTCCCTTAGCTTTTTTCATCCAAAAAACAACACGAGCACAATGGATCAGAGTGATATTACTACTTTTCTGATGAGTACCGAATAATGTACGTAAGCAGAGCATGAGTGTATTACTTACTGTTGATAGTTTGTTTAGTGTACCGTCGATCTGCACAAAATATGCCTCCAAGAGCATCTCGAGTTCTTCCACATCGAATTTGTTGATCATGCTGCTATGGGTTGAGCTTGTACGAGTCCCACGGCTATTTCTGCTAAGTGCGCTATGAGCACTCATAAGAAGATCGTGAGCCTCATCTGCTCCAAGATAGCTCTCATCTCTGTTGGCATCCGATGCGAATTCAGGAGGAAGCCTGACAGGTTATGGTAAAAAAGGAACATGTTAAACTTATATCAGAAAATCGAAAATATAGTATGTTCAGAGAGTCTTGTACATGCCTGTCATCCTCGTCTCCTTCAGGAAGATCAATCTCGACGTTATCACTCTCATTCATCGAGGAATTTGATGAATTCTCAAGTTTCTGAGCTAGCTTCTCCGTTAGATACATCTCAGCCATATCTTCATCATCGTCTAGCAGATGTTCTAGTTCATCCCTTACCTATAAAATGTGTATATATATACAAGTAAAGATAAAGAAGGTATGGTTAGAGTGACGTCTTAGGTTCACTACTTAGATCAAAAGAGCAATGGAAAGTCTGGATCATAACACCTTCTGAACACGTCCAGTTATTGCAACCAGCCTGCTCTTAATCTGTCGAACACGCTCTAAGTTGAGGGTACTGATCTTGGAAGTAAGCTTGTCCAAAGCTGGATGAGCCTCTAACTCCAATCTTACGGCCTACATTAACGAAGAACAAATGAAACACCACACACAAGAGAAGCAATGCTCTGTGTATTAAGAGTCTTAACACAAGTATTTACCTCACTTTCCAAACTGCTGGATGCAGCTTCAAGACATGCTTCCAGAGCAACAAACTCAAACGGAAAAACCTTCGATCCACCTTGATTCTCAAGGCTTTGCTTCACATCCTTCATTGCTTCACTCCCTTGAGATTCTCCATGGGAGGAATCAATCTTTGTATGAGCCTCTCCCTCAGAGTTCTCTCCCTCCTTTAAGAAAAGGCATACAAAGAAAACAGAGAGTGATTAGTAGCTAAACTTGACAATCATCATCTTCATTATTGCAGTAATCAAACATAAGTATCAGATACAAATTCAATTGTTAAGCCAATATAGATACACAAACTCAATTTCTATCTCCTAAACAGTGCAAATTGGGCATACGTTTCCAAATCATCTGCTCAAAATATACACTAAAAGAGTTCCAAAATTCCTCCCCAAAAACCCTAAATTCTGCAAGTACCTGACGTTTAATGCCGTGATGGTGGTCCAGAATCCGCCTCTGCAACTCTTCAATGAACGGTGACACAGAAGGATCCTTGGAATTAAGAAGCAAAACCTCATGCGCGGTGATGATTGCCTTGATATGCTCCAGATTGATGACAATCGCTCTCTCTCGACCCAGAACAGCAGATGGATACGACAAGAGTGGATCGAGAATCCGAAGATCTCGTGCCGGTAATCCCGTTTGCCCCATGATTTTATGTTTTCCGACTTCTTTTAGTTGTGCCTGCCCCGACGAGCTAACCACCAGCCACGGCCTCGCTCCCACGCCTTTTTTCCTTCCGCCGCCGCCAACAACAACACCGGCGGGGTAAATCGGTGTCGGCTGCCCAAAGTTTGGCGTTGCCGGATTCGTAACGAACTCTTCGCATCTAGCCCCTCTCATGGTGAACGATGTAATCGGAGATTGAGCAGCTCGCTATGTCAAGTCCGATCATTCCAGTGATCTTCTCAGGTGGTCAAAGTGAAATTGGGGAATTATTCGAATTTATAAGCGGCTCGACAAACTAGGTTAATCCAAACCGGCTTCCCACGCTAAATCAAACCGGTTTTAAGCTTTTCCACCAAAACCAAACCGGTTTTAAGCTTTTCCACCAAAACCAACTGAGTGAGACTAAGCTGTTCAATTCCAAGGAACATTTCTACATCTTTTACAAAAGTATTAATCAATGTTTAATACATTGTTGCTTCTAATTTAACTCTCGTCAATATCTTTCTCTAAACGTTTGCTTGACCTGCCTTTAATTTAATTTGGAAAAAGCTCTTTCTATGTAATGGTCTTGGTTACGCCTAACACTAGGATGATTTTGTTTAGGTATATGGTGTGGTGTTATCCTAATGTCTTAACAAGATCGTATACGAAGCGTAGTTGTAGGAGAATGTGTTTTGCATGTGTGATGATG